CGCCGCGCGCCGCGCGCCGCCAGCCGACCGACCGCACGCCTTGCGGTCTGTCGCGGCCTCAGGCATCCCGCGGCGGCGGGCGGCGCACGCCGCACCCTGCCGCTTCGTTTCTTTGAGAGCTGCAGTCGACAGGAATTAATGGCTAATCATCCTAAGGCGAGCAGCCTCCTCAATAGCTCAGATTTAGGGATCGTAACCCAATCGTCGTTAGCCCTGAGTTTTAGAGAAATAATACATAAAATAAGAATAAATACTGAACAATAAATTTCGATGTTTAAATTTAAATTATTTTTGTAATATTAATATTGATATAAATAATAATAAATAAAAATAATAATACTCAATAATAATAAATAATAATAATAATAATAATAATAATAATAATAATAATAATAATAATAATAATAATAGTAATAATTACATAGTTGCAAATGTAATTCACGAATGTATTTGGCATGGTTACCATTTAGTATACATTCAATATCACTTTCAGAATATATATATTTTTTCCCGCACGAGTATTGGAATAAGTATCTAACAACAAAACAGCTTAACTGTTAATTATAAAGAGTAAATATATTTAAGAAAATCGAAAAGTAATTTATGTAGAATGTGCGATGATAATAAAACTACTCAATAACCGTTTTTCGAATAATACCTAGAAATGAAAATATACTGTGCTTCAAAATAACTGGAAAATCAGAATTTCAAATTGACAGTGTTAATGGGTCTTTCATTCCATGCAACTCTTGCTCTAAAAGTGCGTGAAATTTTTAATAGCAAACACTCTTTTTATTAAATGAAGTCCCAAACATTAGGGGCATATACCACATGACTACCTCCTTCCCAATTGGAAGAGTGTTTACTTGCCACTAATCTATGACGTCTCTGAAGCGAGTTAATTCACACAATGTGCGTTAGTTTTGAAGACAGTTGAACTGAGGACATAATGCTCTAAAGGCTATCTTCATGCACTCAGCATTCGGCTAGTAAGGTGCAACCGCTTGTTGAATGCCGAGTAGTTGGGATGGATTACTTGCTACTTTCCTAGCTCCACACATTCGGTGCTCGCACTACTCGCAACGTCTCTTTTGGACACGTTAGAGGGATTGAACTTTCGCCGAGAATCTGGGCTATTCGGGAATGGGCAAACAGAACCTCGCGAATTGGTGAATGTGTGGAGCTGCCTTAAGGCAGTCACAATATTAATACAAAGTTCCATGCAACCTCTTTGAGAGTTGTAATTGGGCGATCGAAAACATGAAATACCTAAGACTCGGTAGAGGTCATCAGAGTGTACCATATGTACACGCTTATCATCATTGCCTTTATGGTGACCTCCTCTGCTGTAGAAATCATCTTGATCGGGGAACACGCATAGCAAGAATGAAATTCTGAAATTTTTTTCGAGAGTTTTGCATCATACCTGTAAGAAGCAACTCTGAAACCGTTCCTTCCACAAAAAAATCAATTTACTCCTACGGATGCTTATCCACAATGCTGACTTGATTGTCGATACTTAATGACAATTCGTGGCCGACAAGGCCGTTGCTTCTCGAATACGACTATCTCTTGAAAAGAAATTGGATACGTTTCAAAGTCGCAAACTCGTATGTCATCTAAGTTCAATGTTCTATATCAATGCTAAAACCTCATCACCATTAATGTGACATGTCTGTCATCAAGTGAAGGTTGGCATAAGATTCAGAGCAACCTTAAGGTGAGGTAAACTAACCAAGCGAACTCGCAATTGACGTAGAATAATAATATTGAAAATCATCTCTTCCAAACACCCGAGGCGCGCACTTAACATTCAACACTCACAGTAAGTTATTGTATAAAACTTTTATCTTTGCTAATAGAAAAAATGAAAAGTTAATTTCAGATCAAAATGCTCAGAATTATGAACTAACAAAACTATGAATAAATCATAGAAAGTGAATTATTTAATATAATAAATTTGAGGGTGAACGGGCAAACCGGAAGAGTTACAATAATGTATGTATGTATTTGGCATTTTGGGTCGACTGCACGACTGCCGGCTAACGGGGCTAGTTTTTAATTTCCACGCTTGGGAGGTAAGAGTGACATGCGGCATGACATATTTCCCTTCACCGTAACTAGCACACTCCGCCTGCCTGAGCGTTTCTTCGTCACACTGTTACAGAAACTGAGACGATTTTAAAAGAAAGCTAAAACTATTATTTTGCCTCGACCGGGAATAGAACTCGGGATTATATCACGGGAAGCTGGAACGCTGCCCATGAGGCATTCTAAAGGCACATGACAATAACGTTTCTCTGAATTTTATTAGTAATGTCTCATATTTGTAACTCATAAATGGTATTAGTAGATCACGAAAGTCACGGTAGGACTATCGACGCTTACAGGCTGTTTGATTTTGTTTACTAGAATATAGCGATTGAATTTACATGATTTTTAACTTTCCAGAATATTTGTACAAATAAAGATAAAGAAAAATCACAAATTATTTGACAATGTGAGATCGAATGAACTAGTATTTTCATTAAAATCTTCCAGACTTTAATTTTTCTTTTGTGTCCAGCATCATCTGTAAAACAAATGGTATGCAACGCCGATACAAAATAAAACACGATGAAAATTAGTTTCATAGTTTAATCTATGACCTCCTAAAATCAATATAGAATATAGACCTTTTAAAATAAATTCACATGAAATAAAGGCCGGTAATAAAGCACAAGAATATTTTGTTTTATGGCGAATTTTGGGGAAACAAAACATTGGCAAAACACAAATAAAATACTGTTTAATCAGTTATTTTAAATACTAAACTATTTTTGTGAAAATGTATTTTATTCATTGACTCCCAAAGCAATTTGTCAATCCTTTGAAGAATGATGTTCGGAAAGAAGGGGCAAGTAAGTTTTTGACGATGTCATCGGTCCAGTAAATCTATCGCTCTGTTAACTGATCAGCTACGCTTTCCCTGAGACTCACACCTACTCGTCCTTTGTTTACCAATTTCTAGCACAAGAAAGCCCTCCCTCTTCTTGTGAATAACATTCTGCTTTTGTCATCATTACATTGACATATACCTTTTTTCACGTTGTTTGTTTTCGATAGACGTGTATTAAGTCATTAAAATATTTTATAAAATAATAATGTATCAAACTTTGTAAGAAATATTATTTTAATTTTGAAACTCTGGGGTTACACAGACCAATTCCATGTATTTGAAACGTTATTTCGTTCATTGCTGTTGTCTCACGGTATCGCATAGTCCGGATAATTAATTTTATCGTGGTGAATAAAATATTAACTCTTCCTGAATACATGAAAAAAATTACACTTTGACCCGTCACACACTCACTCAATAGAAATCGCTATTAATTGTTTGTGATACACTAGTGAACAAGCAGACAATTTACATTTGTTACTACCACCGCAGAAAATTCTAGTATTAGAGATCCACTCCAGTTCAAAATCTTAGTACAGATAGTATTTTTTCAGGTTTGGCCAGAACATACAGATATTTTGTAACTTTCCAACGTTATACAAGTTCTAAAACACTTAAAATACATTAAACGAAGGTCTTACATTAAGTTGAAGGTTGCAGTTAATACATTAAAAACTTGATCCACAACATTCCCTAAATTCATCTTTACATATCTTCAGGTTTTATATACAGTCTGCAAGGTTTAAAACTACAAAACTACAAAAGAAGAAACAAATATAAATACCATTACATGGTATAATGAACACTTGACGAGAAACCATATGTAAAAAATATAAAATTATACAGCGAAAGACAAAATGGTCATAAATTGAAAAGTATAAATATTATTGAAAATAAGTTCGAGACAAGACAGAGAAACTCACCTAATAAATAAAAAAAGTGACCACGAAAAATCTCAAAAAGTGACAAAAATTTTTGCATTAAATACTTCCTCTAATAGTGAAAAGTACGCTTAAAAAAGGGCAGGTTCATTTTCGAAAACTGCTCTATAAATGTTTGAAAATTGCAAGAGTCCAAACTTTTTTGGTGCCTTCCTTCAATTACAATACTGAATTTTAGTATATTTTCCATGATCTTCAATCAGCAAATTCCTTTACTCACCCCATGATTCGGGGCTATGGTAATTCTCAGAATTGATTTTTATCTCTCAGGTTTCTTTGAGTGGAAAAAGCTACGTAATGCATCTATAGGTTGGACTTTTTAATATACTATAGTTGTTTCGAATATTATAAACACTTCCCCGTTGTTCCTGTATCTATAAACGGAAATCTTTTTTCCCAAACCGAGAGAAAATTAACAGGTGTGTATGGTTTTTCCTACATGTTGCCTGAAACACCGACAAAGGCCCACTGCCAAGGTTTTCGCCACCGACGACCGCCGTCTCCCCCTCCCTCCCTTCCCTTCCGCCTGGCCCACCATTTGCGCTTCAATATTCTCTCAATAATGGTGTCAGTTTTTCTTTAATTTTCTTGTAAGAATTGTGTGGGACGCACTATTACCGAAACGACATGTCCAATTTTCATGGTTACCACTGAGTTATTGAAAATTGCAAAAGTTTGACATTTTTTCGACGCTTTACACTAATTACAATATTGAAAGTAGAGATTTTCCTTCAAAAATAAAATTTTTCCTCCACCGTTAGTTCTTTAATTCATGTCATGTGCATTTTAAAAAAATATTACTAATTTTCGCATAATTTTTATTACATTTTTTTGAACCCCTCTCTATACTCTAGACGTTTGTAACATTTATCCTGAGACATTGATTCCGTAATTTCTTCGATAAATAAACACATATTTTACTTGATGTACTATCTAACTGCCCAAATGAAACGGTAAAAAATACATTAGTAAGGTTATATGCCAACTATTACAAAAAAATTATTTCAGAAATTTATAAATCAAATGCTATTTGCTATTTCATCATCAAAATATCGTGTTAAATTCACAGTAAAACGGATATAATAATTATCACTTACACAATCATTAACTTCGTGTTGCAGCTGCTGGTGTTGACAATTGCGCTGGCTACGTCGCATGGCGATGAAGCCGTTCAACTACTGGCGCCCGGTTATGCACTCGGATATGCGTCTCAATACGCAAAGAACTATGCTCAACCCACGCCTCCTGTACCAGCTACAACCACGTCTTCTCACAGTCAACATGATCAAATTCTTCCTATCAGGTGAATTGCTACTGCATTGCATTGACGTTTGATTGCAACAAAAAGTGTATGGGAATACAAAAATGACATTCATGAATAAAAGCAAGAATTGAGTAAACGATATTGAAAACAAACTTGGAACTGTTTCTCAGTACGTTTCTTTCTAAAACATGTTACAGATCTGTTAATTTATTGCAACAAATCTTGCACAATTTTTATGGTTAATTAGTAAATAATTCTATATTACATGGCAAGTAAAAGCAAAAAAGAAAACACAAACGGCTCCAAAAAACATTTATTGCTTCAAAAATTTAATTGGGCTTTCATATATGATCTTCCACATATTTAGTAGTAAAATTACTCTAACTTGTACACGCTTGTAATTTATGACGATCTTTTTGAAGTTAATGTATGTCATCGAATTCAGGCACGATTGAAAAACTTATTGAAAAAGAGTAAGAAAAAAGAAGAGAGAGTGCTAAGCCAGTTCAATACTCGCATTTATAATGCATAACTGTTCTTGATATAATAATTGTAAAATTAATTTTGAATACTTTTAATTCTTCTCTTTTGCAGTAGGTCTGCTCCTCAGCAGCATCAGGACAACGAAGTGCAAAAACCTCACGCTACTTCGCCTCGGTGGGACTCCAATGCAGACGGCGAACAGAGAATTCTCTTCTCCCCTCACCCACCAGTACGAGAACCTTACGACGCTGAGCCAATCCTTTCGACCACGGCTCGTGCGAAAGTCAACACCGAGGCAGACAACGATAAAGAAACACTCGTGATGCGGCTCGACAGCAAACGATCAGACGAGCACGCCACCCGCGCCAGAAACCAACAGGAGGAAAACATCCAATCGCACGATGAACCTCCAATTCACACCTCACAACGGCCCAGTGTACAAGCAGACAATGTGCCAAACATTCGCTCCGGACGGGTCACGTGGCCACGAGAGCCAACCGACCCAACGGTTAACGTTGTAAGCCCGCGCACACTGCCCCGGCTGCGGTCAAGCACGCCCAACGACGTTCAGACAACACCCCGCCACCCCCCGCGAGCGAGACAGCGAATCGAAGATTCATTAGCGACCCCGAGAAGCGGGGACCGCCAAAGCCCACGGAGAGAGCGAGTCCCCACTCCGGTCGACACAGCAGCCAGACGTCACCCAGTCCCACAACGCCATGTGAGGCGCCCCTACTCGACGGCGCCTCCTGTGACTCCCACGCTTTCCCTCCCGCGCCCGCCCGCGCTCCATTCCGTGCCCGCCACGCGCCCCGCCTCGTGCCGCCGCGCGCCCCACGGCCCGACCGCGCACCGTCGCAGCTCGCCGTCCAGCTCGCCGCCCCGCGCGCCGCCCCGTCGCGACACCTCTGAAAGGTCAACCAGCCGGCGGGCAGAGCAGGTGACGCCACCGCTACCACCGGAGAAGCCCCCACCCACCAGGGCGCCGGGACGAGACGCACGAAAGCAAACCGCACATCCAGAAGAAGTGCACCAGGCACGGGATTCGGAGGACGACGACGATGATATTGAAGTGATTAAACCTACGTTACACGATCGGGCTGGGAATCGTAGAGAAATCGCCAATACCCTCATGCGAGATAATGTGCGAGAAGATGCTGAAGATATAGTAGTTCCACGAGAGAGCAAAGGTTTCTACGCTCGTTTGTTTGAATCTGTTGGTGACCATAGCACTTCAGGAACAAACGAAGAATTCGGAAAGTCTACTAAGGAACCTCCGCACAAATCTGAATTGAGTGATCACACACACCGCCCCGAAATCGAAACTAAAAAGTCTGCAGATAAAGTCGTTTACAGTAATGAGCAGCAGGACATTAAACCAAATACAAAAGACAATAGAAAGATCAATACGGAAGAAGTAGACAACAATTCTCCTGAACAAAGGGACAAATATCCGTCACAATTAAAAGATCATGACGATAGTGAGAGGCTTGACCGTACAGGCTCACAGGATCATCATTCAGATCACAGAAATACTGATCGATCTCTGGACATTGTACATGACACGGCCAACAAGTATAATGACATGAAAGAATATCACGTGAAAGATCTACCACAAACTCATGGGCAAGAATCTAATCGCGAACACGCCGACGATCATTCTATTAAAAACAACCCTAAAGATGTTAAAAACGTTCCGAGAATTGAATTGTCAAACCAGCCGGGTGAAAAGTTGGATGGCACTTCATCCAAACGGTCCGAAGGCAACCACGACCGAGTTATCGACATGTTACCTATAAAGTTTACTTATCCAGATACGTCACCTCAGCCTTATCAATACAACTATCCAATATTAAGGTCAAACGAAAACATACCTAGCGATTTTCAAGGCAGGCCACTAAACCAAATTGATCGTCCGGTAGAACAGCCACTGTATCTTCCAGAGAACCAATTACGTCCGTACAGAGTCGAAAGTGAACTCTTAGCGGATAAACCACGAGATCAATCGCAGAGCCAGTTGCTGTACCAGCTTCATCCTCTAGACCGTTCAGTCGCTCAAACACCTGATCAAGAGAATCATCGTATCACTGCTCCACTTCAAAATCCCAAATACGATCCTTCATTACTAATGTTAAATCAACATTCAGAACTCCATTACGAACCTCGGCCACAAAATCAGCAGAATGATGAAGATAGATCACGCAACTTGCACGATATCACTCACGAAAACCAGAAGAGTCCTCACAACCCGGACCGAGTAATTGACGAGAGACAAACCACACAGGCGGTATTACTCGATCAACCTCCCTCTTCCCCGGATGTGACTAACGACAGACATCATAGTCAACTGAATGGTCCTCAACCTTCACAGACCCGCTCACCTGACCAACCTCACACTCATGAGGAACGATCACAACCTCGAAATACCCATAACGCAAAACCCGATAAATATGAATACGAACAGAACCGCCCAGTGGCAAGCTCTCATGACGAATCAGGCCATGACCAACAGTACCAGGTGCAAGAGATTCAAGAGGAACAACATGACACGCCAGTGCATCGATCTCAAGAACATTCACAGGAACGTTTAGTCATTAACCCAACCACTGAACCCAAACCAATTCTAAAGCAATCTATTGTTTATCCTTATGAACCTCCAGTGAAACGGGTAAATGAGAAGTCTCTTGATCGCCCCACTGCAGGAATCCATGAGCATGCTCCAAAACAGCCTCATGGTCGTGAGCATATACATGAGGATGCCGAGCGGCCGCAAGAAGCATCTTATGAGGAGCAAAACTACGAGGAGGGTGAAATGGAAGACGTGACAGTCGTCCCCACTCCGGAACCGCCTCCCACTCCTCCTCCTCGGCTCTCCACCCTCTCCACGTCTGGACGGCGGAACAACCGGCGACGTGATCGCGGTCGCCCAACGGATCGCAACCAGAATTCCCAGGACAACGCTGCCGACGATACACCGACCGCCGCACCGATCCCACAGGCATGTACGGGTCGGAGAGGTCGGTTAGCTCGCGGCTGCGCGAGCCCGTACTAACCAAAGTCGAAGTACAACCCGCCCCTCAGCAGGGCAAAACGCGGCGCCGCGACGCCTACGGCAACCAACGCGCGGCCGTGCCAAGGCGACGCCAGGAATGGGCGAGCCTGCCGACTACGAGGCCGATGCGGGGGAAGGGTCCGCTGGCGGCGACCGCGGGGTGGGAGCCGTGCGCCGTCTCCAAGGCTGAGACGGCCGACGACAAATCGCTGCTGCAGCAGGCGGAGGAGGAGGCGTGGGCGATGGACGACTGGGCGGGCGAGGGCGTGGACTGGGGCGCCGCCAGCGCCAGCGGCTTCTTCGACTACCTGCTCCGCGTGGGAAGGCTTTCCGCACCAGCCCGCGCTCCCGCACCGCCAACGCCTCGTGAGGAGGAGGACGAGGAGCCACCACCCTCCGCGCCCCGCCCCCGCCACGCCCACGCTGCGGGCGGGTGCGCCGGAGACAGAGCCCGCGCGCCCACCCACCGCCCCCACCACCCCACCGCCACCGCCGCCACCTCAGGAAGAGGAGGTTCACCCGTCCAGGAAACGCGGCGGAGGGCGACACCGCAACCGCGGCCCGCAGGGGAGGAAGCCGCACGCGCAACGAGTATCAGCAACAGATGCGTGGGAGGAGCAGGAAGAAGATGGGGGAAAGGCCAAAGGAACAAGTCAAACGGAAGAAGATCAAGAGGTACGGACTATTGAGCGAGAAGAGTCTGAAAATATTTCACCAGATTCAAAATCTAGGCGTCCCCTTGCAGATGACGATCGTCCTACCTCTCAGTTCAAAACAGAAAGTAATAAGGGGCCTGATTCTGAGGAAGAGCCAGAAGAAACTTCAAAAGACATTTCACATTCACCGCAACAGAAAGAAGGAAAGGAATCGACGGGAAATGAAAAACAGAGACTGGGATATATTTATCCATTAAGTGAACGTCTCGACAAAAAAGATGCAAATAAACCTTTCGACGTTTATATTCCGCGCGTGAAACTCAATTTTGATAGATATCCACTACATGAACCATCTGCCTATAGACCAAAGTACCTGGATGATTTCTCTCTTTCTAAAGAGAGAAAAGATGACGCAAGAGAACCTAGAAAGGAATCTGAGGGATCAAGTGATTCCAATGAACGACCATCACAAGGGGACCGCGAAGGACTTGAACGGAACCGAGAAAAGGAGAGAGAACGGGAACGCAACTATGAGTGGGAGCGGGAGCGGGAGAGAGAAAAACAATTAGATCGGGAACGTGATCAAAACCGGGATGTAGATCGGGATCGAGACTGGGACAGGGAGCGAGATCGGGATCGAGAGAGAGAACTGGACAAGGAAAGGGATCGAGAGAGAGACGGAGAAAGAGAGAGATCCTTAAAGGGTGAAGAACAACCACAGGCGAAGGCAGTGTCCGGGAAATGTGCGGGGAAGGAATGCGAAGACGACGATGACGACCGCGCCGGCCGTCACTACGGTAAAGATGAGGAGACAGCCGCATCTCTGTGGCGACTCGTTTCCAAACACCGACCGGTCCTCGACATTCATGGCTGGAACCCCTTCGCCAACTGGGACTGAATGCAAGACCGTACAACTCGGCCTTCATATAAGAGTTATTTTTAAATAGTTGACATTGATGTGTAGAGGAGGTGGTGCCAACAACTGGATCTCAGTTATCATGAACTCTTATGACTAATATACAAATCTTGCTATTTTTAATAATTGAATTGTACAGAGCATCAAATCTTAATAGTCTAAGAAATATGATTATATATGTAAGAACATTATTCACATTGAGAAAGCTGTAGACAATGTATTGTCAAATTAATACCAAGATTCTGACAGTACTTAAAAATGCTGCATGATGTTAATTTCTACCAAGCTATTAGTTATTTCTACTGAATATAATGAACAAAAAATAATAATATAGAATAGCGGAAGAATTGATTTAATTTGGTATTCCAATAAATCAGAAAGGATGGGAAGAGGTGTTCTCACGGTTACCTGCTTGCAAAGAGCATTTTTAACTTGTTTAATCAAACATAGTAACTATGTCTAATTTTACCTTTAGTGTTGGTAAAGGTTTAAATCAACACGCGAGCCACTTTGCAAATGGGTACGTTTTATGTAAATAAATATCAAACTAGTAGGAATATTCGCTAGTGAAATGCTATTCGAAGATCTTTATTTGTTAATCATCAATGTTAAATGTCGGGCAAACTAGAACAAAACTCTATTCGTCATTTCAGAAACAATAAAATGGAAGGATATTATTTATGAATTTAGAAAAAAATTACCCTTTGTGTACTATAATATCACGACGCCCATTACAGCACCTGGGCAGACTTTACAAACCTGTTATTTTATACATACAATACATTCATTCTAAATATGGGATGAATACTTTCAGAATAATAGGATGAATACTGCAGGAACATGAAATATGCATTTTAGAATATTATTTTCTTATGTGAATGTGAATTCTACATTATTTTTTTGTCAGTATACTATTTTCCAACTATTTAAAAATAAGATACCCCTGACTGAAACATCATTAAATATTAACGTTCCTGGGATTAGTCACATATAACATGTATAACTATTAACGTAACTGTTATACCCAAATAACGGGCCAATCAAGAGCCGTGGGCGAAAAACTCCTTCGTATGCCTTCCTTCAGAGGGGAACTAAAGGCGACTAGAATTACTGCATGAAAAGATACTCGAGCCTAAATGGAACCACTGAAATAAATTCTAAATTCCTGCTTTTAGAATTTATCTCCCGAAGTGTTACCCTTTTCTTTGCTACATGGCAAAAGGAGCATAAGGAAATTTGCGTGCTCAGACAGACGAGCAGGTCTGATGGCCCGACTCTTGACGCGTAAAATAAGGCATCATTGAATTTGAAAATGTCTTTTCTAATAATTTATAGTTAAAATGATTTGAGGAAAAATTCGCACATATTAAGCAAATGTCAATAGTGGATTACTAAGAGAACATTCAAAATAAACGGTCTGAACACCTTGTAAAAATTACACATAAAATCCAGTTCATACAATATGAATCTTCGTATTGGTTAGAAATCTTGACACATCGTATCTTTCCCAACATCAATATCTTTTAAGAAAGTCAAGTGTGTAGCAAGTGTTTTCTCTCACTACGTTTAAAAAAATGAGTTCGTATCAGAGGAGAACAGTTTCACAATTTTACACTATTCATCAGCATTTCGTGAGAAATGAAGTCTTGAATATAGACACATGTCAACAACTTGATATGTTTATGAACAATTCTTGAGGAATATTTTGTTTTAGAATAGTTGCTTTCAGGTAAAGTTATTTTAATAGTCGCGTGGAATTTATATTATTCAACCCTCATGGAAAAGTTTTTGCTTGATCACTGATCAACAGGTTATATTTTATCTGCCAAACTACAAATTACATTATTACGCCAACACACACTACACGTGACTTCGAATGTGTACAATAATAATATCTTGAATATATATTTCAAATTACTTGCAAGAACTTTTCCATACCCCTGCAAAACAGTGATTTGTCGCTCGTGAAAAATCTTACAAAAATAGGTATATATTTCTTCTTCTCGTAGTTTATGACTTATTAAGACAACTTCCAAACGATCTTCGATTTTTGTGCCATT